AATTAAATTTTATACTTTTTAAATAAATATATAAAATTAAAAACTATTAAACTATTTAAAGTAGTTTTATATATTTTTAAGTTTAATATTTTATTAAATTAGTTTATTTAAATTATTTAAAAATATAATAATAAAAATAATTAAAATAATTGTTTTATAACTTTATATAAAAAAATAAAAAAAATTAAAAGCTAATAAAACGCTATTTAAATAATTATACTAAATAATTATTTAATATTAATTTAACAAACTAAATTTATAACTTTTATAAAAATATAAAATTAATAATATTTATAAAAAGTAAACTAGTATACTTTTTAATAGTAATTATTTAAAATAGTTTTATATAATTTATTTTTTAAGTTTTAAAACTAATTACAAAGTATAAAGTAACCCTATTTATATAAAAGGAGCAACAGAACCTTAGTTAGTCCGCTCCTTATAGCGTTTAGTCCTTATAGGACCCACCTATACGTGACATTTAGTCCGATCGATCTAGGTGCCGACGCGAACGCCAGGAGTGGAACATATAGAACAGCCCTCCTAGCCGCTGCGGCCGCAGGCAACCACGAGATACACGATCGCTTCAATATGTTCCATTCATAAGGCTAATCTGAGTCGACATGGTGTAGTGGTGCACACTTTGGTGGGGTTGGCCGCCATCCGACAAGCCAAAGAGGTGTCGGTTCGACTCCGACTGTCGCCGCTCTCTCTTTTTTTCCCACCTGGGAAAGTGGTTAAACTATCCTCCCGAAACATGCCTCCGCAAACTTAGTATATATATATATAGTACACTTTCCGGGGCCTGAAAGTATCCAACAAATGCTATTGGAAGGGGGATCTAAAGTTAATGCGGGAAACAGTTTCGCCCTCCCCATTGCTGTCTTCCTTGGATATGAAGAGATTTTGAAAATTATATTAGAAGCTGGGGAGGATCTGAACGGTATAATCCTTTTTATTGTGGTAGCAAAAGGACACGAAAACGTTGTAAAATTGCTGTTGGAAGAAGGGGCGGATCCGAACAGTCCCGCTCTCCATCCTGGTAATCCACACAGCGATATCGTACGAAAAATGTTGAGAATGTTGAGAATGGGGAGTAACTCATGCGGTAAATTCATTAAACGTCGTGCAGTTGAGATCGAAGAAGAGAGCGGGTCCGAAGGCCACAGGGGATACGAAAAAATCGTACGAATGATGTTAGAAAATGGGGCGAATCGAAGTAGTGCCACCCTTCAAGTTGCAGCAAAAGGAGAGCAGGAGAATATTCTTGAAAAGATTATTGGAAGAGAGCGAGTCGGATGACGATGCTTTCTAATATACGCTCCACCGGGTGGCCGTGGACGGGGACGTCTGCGTCCTTAGCTAGAAAAGTGAGCCTCCCAGCTTTGGGTTTGTGTCACTTGTATTTCCCCAGCTCCTGATCAGCGTGAGCTTCACACTGGTTGTCCTTCTTGATAGAAACAACTGGGTTTCTTATTAAGTTTTACTCTTTAAATGCCTCAATGACTAAGGTGTAACTATGAGAAGACCTATTGAGAGCTTAGAAGACTTTCGCGCAACAACAATAGTAATCACCTACCCCTAGCATAAGGTATAGCGGTAAAACTGAAAAAGAGGAAATGATTAAATAAACCTAGTTAGCAACGCTAAGTTACGGCCGGAATGCTTTATACAATACAACCATGGTGATTAAAAAGCTTGAAAAAGGCTTATCTTATGATTTTTGTACGAATTTCAATGCGTGGCTAGAAAGGACATTGTTTGACGCAGTTCCTGTTGTTGCTTATTTTCAACAAGTTTAATGACATCTTTAAAAGTCTTCATAAATTCTTATGGCATAATATTTGTTGTTGAATAAGAATATTGTTACATAATTGTACGGCAGAGTAGGCAAAAAAGATGATGAAGATCGATCAAGAAAATTTAGACAGTCGAATGTCTATTATCCAAAGACCGCTGCGTGTAGAAGAATGTTCATGCTTATTCTTAAGTGACATAAACTATGAAGTCGTTCCACCCATTCTACTTTACACTGAATGACCAGGTGCTAGTATTATCAGGGGTTCAAAGAGTCTGAGGCTGTATAAGGAATCCCTGCGCGCAATCCCGGGTTGTTCGACCGGACACCCGTGTAATCTACAGAGGCTTGATGCGTGCTGGTATGCAGGCTGGCTTAAAGAGGAAATTATCCGTTTTGCCCTACTACATCTATTGGACAGCACCCTTGGAGATGCAATCCTTTACCAAGGCTTTCCATGGTAGAATACAACCTAACTGCAGACGGCCAGGCTGCTGACACATGGAGTTTTTACACATTCGGTCCCGAGCGATGCGCATGCCTCTTTATTTGACCTGCCGAAGTTGCGCAGGTCCTGTTTAAGAGACAACCGTCCTTAGACCATAGCTAGATGCTTTACCACTCTTTAACGATATAGGCCGGTACTAGCAGCAGACCCGCGACCGAGGGGCTTGAGAGGCTTAAGAGGCGTAAAAACGATGAGTTGAAGAGCAGCACGAACGCGTGTACCTAGGTAATAGGTAGTAACGAATTAACCTAGAACAATTGTGTTAGACTTATGCAGTAAAGGGCCATGTAAATATCAAAAAATTGCAATAATATGGTATCATCTATAATCACATGCTGCTCAAGCACTTCGTAGTCATGGTAAATAGGCTTCTGTTATTCGACGTGAGTTGTTAATGAAATGCTACTCGCCTCTCGGCGCCTACACATCCCACTTATGAACATGCTCGACAAGTTTGAGCCTAGCATACAAATTTCGCTCGTACACCGGCTGTTTCTCCTTACCACATCAGTTTCACGGATAGACTGACTTCAAAATCCGCACTCATTGCCTCCCAGGCCTCATGCTCCCTTTCTACTAGATTCTATACCCGAAGCTACTCTCGTTTATCATGTGCTTCATCCGTATTGACGTCTCATTATGGATACTATTCTACATTGTTTTTGTGACCGCTGATTCCTCTCGTGGAAGTATCGGATTCTACGCCGATAGCTCATGCCTCCAGCAGGTGAATAACACAGAGGACGTGGCGGCGGGAGCATGCGTAAACACAAAAGGCGTCGTCGCAGTCGCCGCTGGCTCGCTGCCCTCGTGCGGACACACAACGGCGATACTCTACATCTCAGATCTTGCGGGCTGTATGGACCCTTCATTCTTACCTATCGTGAGCAGTGGGAACGTAGGCGATTGTCTATCGTTCATCGAGGGTCGGCCGATTGACTCCGCGCACTTTCAGTGCAAGAATTCCACTGATGGAACGGGGAACACTCCTGGCAATACGCCCGTCCCTAGCAGCGCCCCCCCTGATGACAAGTCTGGGTCTGGAGGAGGCGGCCTATCATTGGGAACGATCATCGGCATCGTGTTCGGAGTAATTTCAGGGATTGCCAGCGTTGTCGGTGTGGCTTTCAAGATCCTAACTTATCGACGGTCGACGAGATACCCGGGGTATGATACGGGGTATTGAAGTGGGTAGACGATTGGGATGGGGTAATATTCGCCAGCGAGACCGGGGCTCTCCCGCCTCGTTCCCACGTACCCTGGGAGCATGATGCGCTGGCATGGAGGGGAGGCGTAGGAATGCAGGAGCCCAACGGCCAACCGGTGTGGAGAATTTACACATCCGTCTGCAGAGCTGTTTATTGGGTAGGTAAACAACTTTGGCGCCTGTTAATCTTTACCGTGGTATCGAAAGTGCACTTTTAAAAAATGAAGGATCTTGCTGGCACACAGGAGGCCGCAATTTGGGTTGCTAAAGAGCTGGGTTGAAAGACATGTGCTAGCTCGATGCTTCGTGCGAGTGCGAGTTTATGTCTTGTACAATTCACTTTGCTCCTAGACTACTACAGCAACAATTTCCAGCTCAGCTGACACAGTGTTCCAGTGATGCTCGGTAGACTGCCCAGACAAGACTTAGGATCCTCGCAAGGCTCGTTGATGCTCTTCACCGACGAGTGCTGCCATGACCCCATCTCTGAAAGCTCTGTGCCGCTCATCAGCGGCGACTGCCAGGGCGCGCCGTTCGCGGGGATCCGAGGCGTGATTCTCACGTCACTGCCGACCTGTCCCGATTACGGACTCCCCCTCCTGATCGTGTCCAACGGAACGAGTTGCAAGAACCCGCAGTCCGAGTCCAATGCTAACAGCGGCGTGATCGGCAGATGCCAATCTTTCGTTGTAAATGAGATCTCGAGTTTCCAGTTTATCTGCTACGGGAAAGGCGTCTCATCTGTGCCACCACCGTCCACTACGACCAGCCAATGGCAATCTACTCCGTCTACTACTGCCTGGGCCGACAGCGAGACGCAGTGGACGCCAACCTCAAGCGAAACGCAGTGGTGGACGTCAACCTCGAGCAAAACAGAGTGGTGGACGCCAGCCCAGAGCGAAACACAATGGACGTCAACCTCGACATGGGGTTATGGAGGGGGCTATGGAGGGACGTATGAGGCAGCACCAACGTTGACGATAATACCAATTGAGAAAGAGACGAAGGACCCAGATCCTGATGGCCGGTCCTGGGTTACTCTGACGGTAACTATGAATGATACCGTGTATGAGGTGCGGCAGCCGACAGCAGAGTATGACCTCGTTAGGGAAGAGTCGCGACAGTGCAACGGCGGTGATATAGTCTCTCAGCGCGATGGTGCCCCAGCCTTAGTCTGCCTTATGACAATCTGGCTACTGATATCTTTATTATGACGCCTTCAAGCCCAAACGGCACGCACGAACCGCGCGAAAACCATTGTGAACCCCACTCGGCTAGGCTCGAGTAATCTTAGGCTTTAAATTCATAAGTTTCGATGATCACGAGTGAATTCTCATAGGTGAAAGTATCAGGGCTGGGCCATCACCTCCTTTTTAAGGTTGGCTGCGTATAACAGGGCCTGCAATTTGATGAATTATCGGGTGCTGTGTAGATTATTGATGCAAGTCTGTACTAAGCACATCTGTATGAGAGCCCCTGTTTCTTCTACATGGGTCTGTCATTGGATACTCATTGGGCCAATATTACAACATAGAGCTATACCCCCTGTTGATAACTATGTCCCGAACAGCCACTATTTTCTTGAAGGTATTATAAGTATCGGTGATAGATTCTTATGCCGCAGGCTTAGGAAGCGTGAAAGCCGTTGGCCTTTCTCCAACGTTGAATTAATAATCGATTAACCAACCACGCACTATGGTATGACCCCCTAGTGTTTGGTATTCTAGTGAGATTTATATGCTGATGGTAAAATGGAGGCCCAGCGGCTACTAGAGGGTGGAATTGCCAACCATTAGAGAACGCAACCACCAAGCGCCTACATGACTGAGCTCACCATCCAGCTTAAAAAGCCCTCTGCCAGAGCATTCATCGCAGAATTATGTGATAAGTAGATTTGGCGAAGGGTCCTAGCCAGACGAACTATGAGCGGGTTCTGCTGTGGCATTATTGCTGAAATCCTTGTTAGATAGCGAGGAAAAGCGTGAATAAAAAGTTTCATAATGTGGTAGAAGTAGGTATAGTATGCGGGAGAAGTAAGTGCTTTCAGTCATTGATAGATGGTGAGGGTATTGCCAAACTGCTATATAGCATCATACATTCCACCTCAGTAGTTCGGCGATCAGGTGCTGGAGGCGAAGGAAAAACGAAACTAGATTCATCCGTAAGATATATCTTGCATATGCAAGAAGCCTC